GTCAGGGCTGGATGGCTGGGCTGCAGGGCAAGTTCAGGGGCTGCCGCATTTGCAGCTCAATGCAAAGCTAATGGTTTTTTTCCAAGCTGTTTCCCAGAAATGCATAAGGGGCAAGAACAGCCCAGCGATGCATTTTCTCCAGCATTTCAGTTGCCACAAGTACTGTTTTTGTGTATTACACACAAAAGTCAGGGGAGTGGGGAGGAAATTACTTCAGCAACAGACAACTCTCAAGTTTGCACGCACAGATACGTGCACCTTGAAAAGTAAAAAAAGCTACAAGTACTACACTGAGGCTCATTTATTCTGAAATAAGCCTCCGTTTTTAAAAAAGCACGACAAGTAAGAAAGAGATGTTGGTGTTTTTATAACACAATTAAAAGTGTTTACTTAAGGCAACACTGTTTCAAAAATTATTGCCTAACATTATGTGTTGACTAAAGAGACTGCTTGTCCCCAGGGCCATGAGTTTCAAAGCTTGGCATTGTGAAAGGGCTGAAGGTCCTCCAGCACAAATGTCTTTCTTTCCTTTAATCTGCTATGCTCTAGCATCGAGGGTTGGAAAAAAAAAAAAAATTAAGGGCAGCAAAAAATGAGGAAATGTGTAACTGCTCAAGCTTTGAATACTGTGATAAATATCACATATTTACTGCCTCTGTTGTAACAGATGTTTGGAATTGCCTACAACCATCCAAATCTATAATAAGATAAACGTACTAAAATCAGTGAAAAGGTAATAAACACGATTGCTTCTTCCCACTTTAAAGGCTGCTGTTTTCTATGGTATTATTGTGTTGACATTTGACAGTTTTTGGTGAGAGAAAACAGTTCATATGAGGAAAGGCAATTTCACAGCTGCTCCTGTGAAACAGGTTTCTAAAACTTACCTAATGCTTTGAATTGTATCAGACCTTGATCACAACTCTGCTACTTACCCTTCCTGGTATCACCAGATTGTCTATGCCTATCAAGTCTTTCTTGAGTTCATGCAGCTTCTGGAAGTTCTCCATCTTGATCATATTGCCATGGAGCTGAGCCACCATTTCAGAAATCTCAGCCAAAGCAGCTAGATGGACAAAACCATAAAATGCTTATTAAAAATTCACAAGAATGTTCATTAGAGAGATGGCTTTTGTCCGCAGCACCCAGCTTGTGTCACCCTTCTTGTGTTACTCTTCTCCTTCAAAGTGTAAAGCTACTCGGGCAGTCTAAAAACCACACAAACTCTGGACATCATCTTATGGAGTGGAGAGGGTGGAGTGTTGTAATGAAGAGACAGTCTATTTCTTCAAACAAAAGTTTGTTCTATTTTAGCCACAGGAACTTTGTAGGAATACTCGAGTCAATTCAGAGCACCAATGAATGGGTTCTCCGAAAGGACTTAATTTCCTGCATCTCAAATTAATCTAGGGATCTTCTCTATGCTTGAAAAAACCACATTTTTTCCACAACCTGCAACACACTGGGTAAGGTCCATATTTGAAAATACCAAGAAATGGCAGCATAATTTATTGTATCATCTCAGGTGGTAAACCCAGTAATTTTGGGGTTTGTCCTCAGTCCCTGCAATGAGAACAACTCAAAAGGGCTGCATGCACCACGGCTCTACTTCACTCTCTCCAAAGAGATTCCCAACAACGAATGACCTAGCACCTGGGAGTGATTTTCCTAAGGAAAATCTCCATTGTCAAAGGGGAGTTTTGCTGTGTGAAGAAGGATCAGGTGGAATACAAGAGGAAGCAGACACTACGAAGTCCCACTCTGCAGCAGCAGAAGCCAAATCAAGTGCAGGCTGCTGCAGATCTGCTTCCCATGCCTTGTCTTCTGCTGTGCCAACAACGCAGTAAGTCGACTCGGGGAACTAAACTGAAAATCACTGCACCACTTGACCTTTTCTGGGGGACCAGCTCATGGACTGGCTCCCTGTGCCATCACATACATGAGCACCAACCTTGATATGCCTAAATGGACAGGCAGTCTCTGAAGGGGTCAAACACACTGGCTGACTTGAGTGCTGGAAGAGCAGTTACAGCCACTTGTGTTAACAAAATACAGTCAAGGGAACAGTAACAGTGGTTCTTCCTTCTTACATCATTGCTCAGTTCATCCACCTGTTAGTGGGAGACCTGTGCTCTCTGCTGGGATTCATATCCACATCTCCCCTTTTTTTTTTTCTTCCTTTACTCTCTGACCTTTAACAAAAATCTGCAAACACCTTAGTAAGAGACTGATCCCAGAGCGAAGGTGTCCCCGAGGGACACCGCCCTTCTCATGCTCTCTTATTTTCACCCCCGAATCCTGTGTTCATATCCACTTCAAAAAGTGGAACAGGAATCAAGCCTTGATGGCTGCTGCACTCTCTGAGGAAGTGGGAATGGACACACCATCCTCATCATCTAGACTTGGCTAAAAGAAATGAAGGCACTACTCGCTGCATTCCTTGAGATCATTCTGGCAGTAGCTACATTTAGGCAAACAGCTGTGTCATGCAGACTTCAGTGCCACAGACCTCTGTGACATTTCTTATTGCTACAGGTCAAGTTACCTCCACATTTTGTGCATTGCCTTCTGTGGGTCTCATCGCACGGCATCTAAGGGAACTTAGCCAGTTAACTCAGCTAACACCTTAGAGCTGGGAGCAGCCATGCCGAGCACTGCTCCCTGCCCAAGTCCTTCCGTGGATCTGCACTGAGTGCTAATTGTATATATAACATAGTTATCTTTAAATGTAGGTAGTTTACTGCAGGGGTGGGGGACGGGGGTAAGAAAGAGGAAAACATCATCAAAAAGAAATAGCAGGCAGTGAGTTCAAACTACAGGAGGAAAATATCTTCACATTTGGAAAAAAAACCATGTTGGCAGCTTTGAGTTCCTGAAACAAATAATGGAAACGGTAAGAAAGCAAACTGCATGTCTGGAAAAAAGACAAATAACACTTAAAGACATAATAACAGCAGCCTTACCGGGTCAGACCATGGGTTCACCTGAGCCAATATTCTGTGTTCCTAGCAGATCTCTAGGGAAAGCCAGGAACAAGCCAAGCACATATGGTATGTTCCCTGTGCTGTCTCCCAACCTCCCAACTGTTTTCAGTTCAAGCAACTTCCTGAACTGCATGTCATTTCTGTGTGTTTAATAACCCCCCGCAGATTTCTCTTCCAAGTACTTATCCAGACTGTAGCATAATGTGTATACAAGAGCAACCTTAATCCTACCATTTCTGGTCTTCTGAGTGCTGGATTTTGCAACTCAATCCTCTTTCAATGTAGGTTTAAAAAAAAGATTTTTTTGTCCAGCCATGCACCTCTAATGGATTTGGATGCCATTCCCCAGCTCCAGGAATTGGTGTCTTTTCTCTTTCTTACCTCTTGAATCCCTGAAGTCTGTGTGGCTTGGTGGGTAGTGTTTACAAAGCCTCTCCAGTATCTGCTTGTAGTGCATAAGCCTGTGTAAAGGTCTGAGAAGGAAGGTATTGAGAGGCAAGTAGCAGACTTTCTGTAGCTCAAAATCCCTGCAAAAGGTCTCCAGCTTGCGAGAGTTCCTGATCCCGTTCTCCAGCTCCATTAAAATCTCATTGTGCTTCCACAGGTGAATTGTCAGTTGCTTATATGCACAAAGAAAAGAGCATGTGGTAGAGCTATTAGCAATCACTGTGAGACATGACTCAGCCCAAACCTATTCCAATAAAAAAATCCAACTAGCACAGCAGTTGGGATTTTGCAAACAAAATCACTGTGCCACACAATGGTTCTGATATTCCCTCGAAAAGGAGAAATGGCATTATTCGTTTGAAATACACACCCCTGCCCCATCTGCATTCCCTGTAAAACAGAAGTATACGAGTAAACAAAACTAAGTCTGATATCAGTGAGAAATCCAGAGGCAAGGAGATGACATGAACATAGCTCATGCAAGTAGGTGCAACAGGGAGAGAGCTAGGCAACGTGAATGTAGAGCTAGGAAACAAAATGGAATCTTCTAGGAGGATGAAGGGATTTAGTTGCCCCAGTTCCCTTAGGTGCTTTTGGGGAACTGAGATGCAGGCAAATGGACTTCTTGCTTCTGCTTCCCTGTTATTAACGAGAAGTTGCATCTCCTGGGAGATCGAACAAGCGCAAAAATAGAGGAGCTGTCCGACAGAAATGGGTATGCTAGTGTTCTTCATCCTTGTATTACACCCTCTTCTCCCTAGTGCAGTCTCTAAGATGATCCCACTGGCAGCAGGGGAGTTCTGCACCAGCAAGTGAATGAGGTTTGCATGAAATATGTAACTTCATTTAGGTCCCACTACCCCAGACATTCACGATTCCCATTTAAAACAAGTCAGCAGTATTTTTTTTGAACAATTAACACAAGGGCTTCGTTTCTGTTTTGGAGAAGGTAAGCTGGTTCTTCAGGATGCACAGAGCTGCTCTGAGCTGCCAAATAAAGTCTCCCAGTACATGGTAGAATATTACCCAGCAACAAAAAGAAATGGAATGCGATGCTGAATGGACTTCAGAGGACCGTTTGGCTTAATCTAAAGCTCGTGCTTTTTGACACATTTTCAATCAACTCCCTCCCTCCTGTGATTTGTGACATCCTTACCAGAAATATACCTTCCCTACAGCCAAGCCACTTCCTCCATACACTGCATATTCATTTTACAAGCCTCTAACTCAAGCAAAAACACAGCAGACCCTCTGGACTACTACAGAGGCTGCCCATTAATTACTTGCTCTTAACCTCTTTCCTAAGTTAATTAAACAAGGAGTGTCAGCCTTTTAACAGGTCTCATGATAAATAGTAGCGTTTTAACTAACTTTATTGTTTCCAGTGCTGTTCTTTAAGTGAAACGGGGCTTCGCCTCCTTCCTCCAAGTATCTGTGCTTATCAGTGGTGGCGGTTCTCAAAGCAGAGAGAACAAAATCCTCTAACGGGAAAGGGAGAATGAAGGTGAAAGCACACTGACAGGTCTAAGTTACAGTGAGGACTGTACGCCGCCATTAAACTAGTGCCACGGAAGGACCTGCAGACGGTGAAGGACAGACAGTTTAATGTTGCAAGGTACTGAGAGCAGAAGCAGAAGCTGAGATTCCAAAAACTGAAACCAGGTGCCTACTCCTCAAGAGCAGGGATGGAGGTAGAAAAGTCCCCCCCACGTTTCTTCCAATGTCTCTGAATTGTGTCTTGAGAGGAAAAAGCAGTTCCTGCTAAGTACATTGCAGAAAGGGTAACTGCCTTTTGGTGACAAAGCTATCTGTGTTGGGGACTGTAAATCAAGATTTCTACATTCTCTTTTTTTGATTTGCTGTATAATCACTTGCACATCACTTAACCACTCTTCGTCTCTCTCTGTCCTTCTGAAAGAAAAGCCTAGTACTAACTAACGTCTCAGGAGAGCTGTAAAGATTAAACTGCCCTTTCCTCCAGCCCAGGACTCAAGGCTGCTCCATTTACTAACTGCAGAATGCCGAAGTGGCAATCACCAAGGAAAGATTTATCAGATAGTTTCGAAAGCACTTTGAGATTCACATGCCGAAGGTGCAGTGCCATGTTTTGCCACACACGGACCTGAATGCATAGTTACGTTAATAAGCTGAGCTGTGTGTTATCCATCCACGCTGTAAAAGTCTGTAGGGTTTTCACAGGCTCCCGTGCCTGCCTTCCATGCTCTTTGTTCAGTAACACAGTAACACAGAACATCAAAAATACTACTCTGGCCAGACTAAGAACAGATGCAAAGACTGCTGAACATTACACCTAGTTTTACAGTTCACATATGCATTTTTTTTTTTAGCTTGAAAGGGATCAAAGGCAATTATTCGCATTTATTCAAAAAACTTTCATCTAACTTGGCACCATGCTGCCCAAAGGTAAGTTTCCCAAATCAATAGCTGGGTTATGGTCACTACTCCTGCAATATCTTAACACTTACATTTGCATGCACAAGTAGGCACACTTGGCATTTGAAGAGTCTCTTCAGCCATACAAATTCTGATGTTTTGCCTTCTTATTTGAAAGAAAAAAGAACTGGAAATTAAATGTTCCTGGACTTCTGTGTTTGTTATTCCTATGTTTGGAGAGCGGACTGAGGAAAGGGGCTGGACAATTTAAAATCAGCTAGCAATTCTGAAATCTCAGGGCTCACCAAACACTTGATACTTTATCAAAGGAAACTTTTATAGCACAAGCTTTGATTACAATTGGCAAAAACCAGCACAAGAGGCAACATCATATGAAAATGAAAAGCACAATAATTCTAATCCCTGTCAAAGCTTAATAGTTACAGGATCATTCCTACCTTCATACTCTGAATGTTCTTTAGCATAACATCTCCGATTCTTTGGTAATCTCCTTTAATGTGAGCATTAGAGCGGCCTTCCCTGTCAGCAACAGAAATATCACACACTTCAGTCATGCAATAAAACCACATAATCACTTATAAGCACAGAAAGGAACTCAATAGCTCATTTCTCTTAAATTCCTGACCCCCATGCTCCTTTGCTCGGGAGCATGAGGCATCTTCCTGATGGACATGTAATTCCCAGGTATGGTACACCCTTCACCCAGCCTGGCTCGCCCTCCTAACAGAGAGGGCAGGCACTTAACAGAAGGATTAGACCTTTAAAGAAAATTGCTAGCATTTTTAAACACACCAGAGAAGGCTGGAAATGGCTTGAGAAAAAGGAAGACATCAAAATCCCACGACAATACGTGGGCTTAGAGCAGAAACATAATTCTTTTCAGAAACAAGGATTGCACCCCGAAACAGGACCTGTGGGTATTCCTCCTCTGAAAATCTTTCTGCTTGTGCAAGGGACAGTGGGGAAAAAAAAAAAATCCGTCCAGCATCTGGGTTTGACTCATAAGTGTTACATACTGGCAGGAATTTTTTTTCGGTGTGTCACTTTTGGTATTAAAAATGCAAATGGCTCCCTCCCACCCAGCCAGCTGCACTTGGGTGGGTGCTCCATTTGGGAGAAACCCAGCTCCTGATGAAAAGATACTCCTGCTTCTAAACCCATGTGCGAGACAGGGAGGGATACCACACTCTGACTGAATCTAAACGCATCTTTTAGAAAACACAGGAGGGAAAATCATGAATATTAGAACCTAACTGTTACAGATCTGTTCCAACCAAGTTAGGTTTTCAAAAGAAAATCACTAAGGGGGGTGTGGGGAGAAGCACTGTCGCCCCTTCCCTTTCCAACTTTTAATACTGCATCCAAGTTTCCCGCAGCCTGGCTTTTTATGTGCTGTCCTCAGTTTTTAAAATTCAGTTCAACTCCCACATCTGAGTACTGGTAGACAGATCCAGTCCTGGTGCGAGCAACTGCAATTCAGCCAAAGAAATGCACTACCTTGGAAGAGGACAGAAATATAACCAAACTCCCAATGAACCCAAGGAAAACAGGACCTCTGTTTTGTGTTACTGCTCAATGGATTTGTTGTTTTTCACCCACTTGCAGTAGTTCACACTTTTAAGAAAATTCTGTGTGCAGTGAAGGAATAGGTGGACAACCAGGCGGTAAATCTCTCCATTGCTCAGCACCAGCAATTTAGCCAGAGAGGTCCCACACTCACCAACTTATAGAGGATGCAGCTGTTGTTAGGAATATACTTTTAACTGGTAAGATAAATAAAATTTTTTTATTTAAAAAAAATCCATATTATTACATGAATAGATGCATATTCCGACATATATTTTGTTTTGTGAAGTTAAACATGGTTATGCTCATGCTCTGCATGCTTTTCTAACTGGGAAACATGGAGGGCACAGCTTATGAATACTACACAGTAACGTCTCCTATTTTATCCTTCAACAGACATAGAGACTCAGCTGATAAACAAGGGATTGCTCCGTGTTCATTTGAACAATATCCAGTTTCATAGGCTGTCTTCAATTATTTCCTATTGTGTTAAGTCTCCCAGGCACTCACATGCCTATTTAAGCAAGAAAAATACAGGTCTCAACAAGATTTTTTATGTTTTTTCTGAATCCAAAGGTCATACCAGGGTAGGAAGTTGGGCTGTGTCAATGGCAACTATAATTAGCATCTCCAGTGTGGCAAAAGCACTACATTATACAACACTGCCATAGTCAAAACATGCCCAAGGAATGGTCTATATTGCAAGGAACAGCAGAGGTATGTACGGACATTACAAGACTACAGTCTCCACATTACCTGAGGATAAAAGTCCAATTTCTCTCTCCAGGAAGCCTGTCTGTCAAGTCACCCCCCACCATGCCGTTCCCTGCCTTTCCCTCCCCCCATGTCCTATCCATCAGCTCTCTCCACTCAGATTTCCTCTGAGAGGTTGTAAATAAAACTTTCCAGCCACTAAAGCTCTGCTCAAAGTGGTGCCACTGAGGCTCTGCTCAAAGTGGTGCATATCAAAGTACCCCCGGCTGAAAACCACAACCATTTGAAGTCCAAGGCAGTAGCACCGCACCGGCAGGGAGCAAGGGAAAGTCGCCCTCCGCCCGTGCAGCCAGCACGCAGCATCCCATCCCAAATGGTTCACGCTGTGCCGTTGCACACAACCCCAGAAATGTCAAAGCCAGATGAATTTGTGCTGCTGCCAGTAAACGACATGGTATTCGGTAATTATCTCTAGAAGAATTCTTGCTTTATGTGTTATTCTCTAGCTCTCTGGCATGCCTGGATCCTTTTTTATGTCTCTACATTTGATTTAATCTAATGGACTTCAGCAGCTTGGTACCCTTCCGATTTACTGCCAAGATAAATATTAAGTACATCATTACAGACTGCTATTTCTAAATAGAAATGGCCTTTCTGATCTCAAGGCTACCATACAGGTTGGCTGGAATACTCGTTGCAGATTTCTTACCTACTAGCGAGCTACTCGAAGGCTGACTCCAAGCCTACTGAAGTCATAGTGAGTGCTTCCACTGACTTTGTGAACTTCAGCTAATATTTAGTGCTGTTGTTCACCGAACAGTCAGGTCCTTATTTCCTAAAAGTTGAGCCCCTGGCCCCTCCTCAGCACAGCCAGCACTGACTGCTTGCACAGCATCTCATCACATCAATCACATGCAAAGCATCAGGAACATTCCCCTTCATTGGCTTTGGCGACAGACTGGTCCAGGGTTTTTTTTTTTAAACAGTTTGAGGGCTTTCAGATCTTACTCTGCATCTTGGCAGAGTGACAAAGAGGGAGAGAAGGGGGTTCCCCAAAAGCAACAGCCTCTCTCCAGCTGCTGGCTGAACAGTGAAGAGCTGAATCGTACCTGAGCCCTCAGCCCAGGCCAAGAGAGATAACCTGTGCTGCAGGCAGATGCATACTGCTGGAAGAAAGAAAACCCTAAGAAAATCAGGACATGTGATGGCCAGATATTGTTTCTTGTTCCAGCCATTCTCCCTGCTTTGGCTCTCTATTTCCATGCAAACGCCGCCTCTCACAACAGAGATGATTTTCCCACTGGGGACAGTGCATACGTGTGTGGACTGTGATGCGGAGCAGAGGGGCAGGGAAAGCTGAAGCCAGGCATAGGGGAACACGGCGGCATCACATCTGCCTCCTCAACCTCATCCTCCACTCCCCCCAGCTCTCTGCCGGGACTCCACAGTAACCCCTACACTACACTGCCCTCTTCCCCAGCTCCTCAACATGCAAATCCCAAGTTGTCGTGGCTTAACTAAATCCAAAACGCAGCACTATGCCAGCTAGAAGGAAGAAAATTAACTCTGTCCCAGCCAAAACCAGGACACAAGTAAACAAGAACAAAAGAAACCCCAAGAGAAAAGCATCCAAATACACAGAATATTAAAATAAAAGCCAAACACCTGATCCATCAGATGGTGTCTTACTGCTTCAACAGCCCAAAGCCCAGCAGCAAAGAAGAGAGCTCTCCCTGCCATGTATGTTTTGAACAACACCACTCAGCTTGCTGGAGGTGGGGAAGAAGCTGCTCATTTGTTTTGCATCAATGGCTAAATTGTTCTTCTTACTCCTCGTTTTCACGGGTCACTGTTTGAACACGGTATCTATCTGTCAGTGACAAGGGACAGAGCTTAGGGACTAGGTTCTTATAAATTTTCATCAGGAGCTGATTTATGACCCCCAGCTCCATAGAAGATGTAGGAGCTGCTTTCCCCACACATAATGTGCCATCACTCCCCTGACATAGATTGTGTGGGGAGGTCTAAAGCCGCTGAAAATCATGCTGAACAGTGGAGATTTTATGATTCTATGAATAGTGGACTTATTATTCTATAATAAGCTCATTTCACATTTTTCTCCAAATAGTCCCTTCCTTTTTACAGTAATGAAAGTACACAATTGCAAGCAAAGAGGAGGAGACTGACTTTTACACCTGATAGGAAACTCAGACACTACCTTACATATTACTAAAAATGGCCACCGGCTTGACTTAGAGGGACTATGCAAGGACCTATGTTGGATTTTCAAATTACATAAACTTCTCAGTGTACATCATTGAAAAATGAATGGAAAGAAATCTCAAGTCAGCCTGTACTATCCTCAGTCATCCAGGAACGGTAGTAGAAGGAACTGAAATTTGATGGGGATGGTGGGAAGGCAAAGAAGGAGAGAAAGATATCTCAATAGAGACTTTTTTTTTTCCCAGGTGAACATAAAAGACTTTGATTACAGCCCTTCAATTTCAGAAAAGAAAAAAAAAAAATTGTAGCAAATGATATTAACAGTGTGTCACCTTCTGTTATGTGCTCTGGAACAGCATCTCTCTCCTTGATACTATAGCTTGTCTTTAAGCACTTAAGACACTTTTGACTTTTTAAGAGTATTATTAACGAAATGTCTAATATTAAGAAATACCTTAAACATTCCCCATTACAACTGCCTTTTAAATAAGAGGAACATTTTGTAACTGCAAAAGAAGAGTTGATGAAAGCAAAACACCCTCTTCCTTGCTCACACCCTGCTATTACACAGTGCCTCTTATCACCCTGCCCATCGCAGCCGACGCTGCAGCTGTCCTTTCCGGCAGCAAGCGGTGCACGAGACACTGCTCAGAGCATAAGCAACATACTGCTGGAGCCAACAGAGCTTCCCAGAGTCCCACCAAGCCTTCGGGGAGCGTGCACACATTTAAAGACTTTGGGCTGGCTATCCTTGTTGTGGGAGAAACCCAATCCACAGCAAGCATGCCTCATCAGTAATGCTTTTAAACAGTAAGAGATCAGAGCAAGTAACACCATCGCGTGGAAATCTATTGAAAAAACAACAACATTTTATACCTTGCTGTGGTAGCTCCTCAGAGGTGATCCTGGGCGCATCCCGCCTGGGAGAGCCGCAGAGATGAATGTAACGTGGCTCTGGGTGTTACTGATGGATCCCGGACAAGGTATTTCTCTCCCACCATTGCAAATTCATCTGGGTGTAGCATGGCTCTAATCCTCAGAAGTACCCAAAAGTGACTTCAGCAATGCAAACTGTCCTCTCAAAAGTGAGCGCAATGCACTGGCACCAAGCCCCTCTTAAAGTCTTTGTCTCAGGAATCCACGCTGCGTGACTCTGAGGTTTATACTACAAACACATACTTCATTTCTGTACACAGGACAGAGACTTTCAAAACTGTCCTCTTCATCCCTCTTCACCAGGCACGCAGAACCAGCTGAATAGTCAGCACTTGTGCATTTGAGAAGGCAGATAATGACTGCTGTCTTGTTTATAGAAACTGTTTATCAGGCTGTTCTTCCTGACCGCAAGTACTACTTCCCAAACAAAAAATGGTTAATAAAGCAACATTTAGCTCATCTTCCTACACCTCCATGAGTGCTTTTTATTACAGGTTTTCAAACTGGCTTCCACTAATCCTGATTGAGCCTTCTCCTTTCATATGCTAAGATCTAAGAGCTTTTTCTTGCAAATTACCAGTCGCACATTTCTCAGGCACATCTGGTAGTACTGAGTAGCAGCTTTCCTCAGAAGTGCCTGTGAACTGGGAGCCAAATTGCTGGCTTCCCTGGGAGAAGGTAAGTCTGCCTGCATTTCTGGAAAGTACGTAATGCTTTTTCTTCCTAGCACATGGATAAGGCCCAAAATGCAGATTCACCCTACCTGATACGGCTTCCTAGGGCAGAAATGGCTATCCTGGCTTCCCCTAGCATTGCTCTCTGCAGTGCTTAGCAGTCGACCAAGGGGGGAAATTTATGGCTCTCCATTTGCCACCTTCCATTAGAATTTACAAAAACATTTGGAAACTTGTAATACAAACATTTAAAGGGGTGTGGGGAGATGAGCTCAATTTTTTTGGCTGGAAAATGGTGCTTGCGGCCCAAATGAATAGCCTATTAAACAGCTTAGATAAATGAAGGAGCAAAACCTAACTGACTTCTCAGATTCAACTGGCCAGATGTTAATGGAGCATGTCACGCTCTGCCTGCACTGCCTACCTCTCTTCCTCCTTGCCATAAAATCTCTCAGGCCCTGGGAAACAGGAGCCAGCTTTAAGTCACTGAGATATTCTTCCCATATTTCCTCCCAGCAGAAAGGGTTGGGAACTGCTGGCCTTGCACCTAAAGCCCTGCTGAGGAGCAACCTGGAGGAGTCCTGGTAGCCAGGACCAGGACCTGGGTGCCCAGGTACGGGACGTACGTCTCCTGGCCCCTGCTAACGGGACAGCCTGACGTGCACTGTTCTCTCTCACACCTCAAGCAGCTTCCTGCTCATTTTCCCTCTTCCTCCCTTGTAGTGTGAGAGGGCAGAGCCCCACGCCTGCCTGCTACCTGCCTGCATCCACCAAAGGTCATCCTTCCTCTCCTCGAACCACAGGGCCTCTAGAGGGGTGTTTTCACTTGGTCCCAGGAACATGGTCAGTCTCGTGAACAGAGGGCTCAGCACAGCTGGGGCAACCGATGGGAGTTATGGGCTGCTTCACTGACCCAGCAACAGCACAAGCTGGGCAGAAACATCGACCAGAGCATGGCATGACTGATCTTAGGATGCTGTGCAATGAAAACACTGTGAATCTGCTCAGTTTCATGGCCAGAAAGAAACTCTGGCTGTGAAAAATGCAGCAACTTCCTATATTCCGCAGTTGGCTATTGGCGCCAGCATCAATTCACGTCTTGTTAAAAACTTTCTCACTATGCACTAGACACTGAGATGTGCTGCTCTTAGGAAATGCAGTACTAAAGAGAAAAATGGGTGAATTGTGTAAAGAAACAAATCAGACCTGCCAGAATCTATAACTGGGTCAAAAGGATACCAGCCCTTAAGATGTTCAGTAGCAAACAGCCTGCCTCTGATGGCAGATTCAAACAGTTCAGAAGCCTTCAAGCAAGCCAGAAATGCTTTTAATAATGTGCACAACCTGAGCTTCCTTGAGCCAAATACTGAAAGTCAATAGAGGTGTTAACAAATTAAAAGCACAGAGCCATCTAACAATCGTTACGTGCGATCCATCCCTGGCCTTGCCCTCCTTGCAGCTCTTTTGCAGAGCATCAGCTTCAACGCGAAGCTTCAAGTCCTAAGAGACCAGGGAATGGCCTCCCGTAAGACCTTCCAACATGCAGCATGAAGGTTTGAAGCAAACCTTAGACAAACACACTGATGTCTAGGCAGAGGGAGCAGGCTGAACTGCACTTTAAGTTGATAAAACCCAGCATCCTGCTCACTAGGGGAACACAGATGACTGGTGGCGGGAGGCTCTTCCTCTCAGACAAGCTCCCACAACACACCAGGGTAGCTAAGGGCTTCCAGGGGCTTGATGAAGCCCACAACCCTTTCATTCAAAGGCCCTTTTTTCGTAAGACACGCCACCCTCTGACGAACGGCAGAGCACGCTCATGTCTCAGGACAAGCGTCTCACCTTCCTCCCCCCTCCACCTGCCTGGAAATTTAAAAGAGCTGACAGAGAAGATTCAGATTTAAATGAGCTGGCTGGAATCCTGCCCGCACCTGCCTGCAGCTGGGCCCGCGAGCAGCGACGCAGCGGCTGTAGAGGCTGGGCAGCGCCCTGCTCTGCGGTGGTGAACACAGCCAGAGCCCGCCAGCTTAAAACCACCCGGGGCCAAAGGCACGGGTACAATCATGGCAGTAGGGACGTTGAGCTGAGCGACCTTGACCACGCTGCTGAAGAAATTCCCTACCAATCCGCCACCAGCTGCTTCTTCTACGTGCTGAGGGGCTGTTTGATTTTGTCACTCACTGTTTAATTAAACAGAAATCTCTATAGGATAGAGTTTACTGCTTGCGGCTTATCTCGGCGTCTGTGGCATTATATAAAAACACCAACACCTCCAAAATAGCACCTGCCAGCAAATCCGCCTCCCTTCCTCAGGCACGTATTCAAATCTTCCAGAACTTGAAAAACAAACACCGTCTACAACAGTGGTATTACATTAGGTAAATGCATGCTGTTGGTTGCAACTGGATGCAGACCAGGGGCAGGAACGTGACTGCATTTCTGTCAAATGAATCAGAGCCGCTGACAAGAGAATTCCCAGTTGCTTTACACTAACTGGAAGGACATGCAATAGCTGAGCTGACAAAGTCAGAATGAGGTGCCCAGCTGGGACACAGTTACCTCAGCAGAATATTTTTTAACAAATTTGGATTGCAAAGTAACCTTGTAGCAGATCAGCACTTTATATCATAGAGTAGCTGCAGCTTAAATACAATATTAGGAGCCTTAAGCTGAGGTTTACCACTCTGTGAAACCATAGCCCTGGGACACCAGGGAAAGCTGGAAAGCAAAAGGCTTACTGAGGTCTAAAAAAAGCTAACTTGGAGAAACAAAATAAAATAATGGAAATTCTAAAAGCCTAAACATTCTTTTTTTCTTTTAACATACCTCCTTACTACAATGCCACCTTTCCACAGCAGGCTGTTACTGCAGCATCATCCAAGTTTTGAAAAACATCACACCTGAACAGGAGGTTGGCATCTACCTGTAATGCCCCCAGCAACTGGAAGGATATAGGGGGAAACTCTATTTCAACATGTGCCCCAGGAATCAGCACCCAGCAAGCTCACTATATTAGACTGGTCTGATAGAGAGCAGAACTTGCCCCTTTACTAACTGTATAAATTTTCCTTTTCTCACCATTCATGCTTAACCCCAGCCAGTTGGGGATTAACCCCAACTATGGTTAATCCTACACCATGGTTGGAGAAACAATCACTATTTTATAACATTTGAAAGAGCCTTTTTGGAGTACCTGCAATAAATGTTCCTTACTGGAAAGCAATTAACACCAGTAAGAATCCCAGCTGGATTAAAACAGTAGCAGCCCAATGAAAAAAGGCAGATCCAGGCAGAGTTGCTGTGCAGCACGCTGCCTTAGGAGTAACCTCATGTCAACCATCAGCCACCGAGTGCTGGGTGAGGATTTCGGCTCTAAGAGGCAGTATCGCATTCCCCTCTCCCCAGAACACCCACTAATTCTGGAACAGTGGAGGGTGGGTTTGGATAGCACTAGTCCACAATGTGTTGTGCTCTCATTCAACGACCTCGCTCATCACATCACAAGAGCTAAACTCACACGCTCTAAGACTGTGTTTTGCTTTTGTTTTGATTAATTAGTTAAAAGAGGCATTAAACTGATTAGCACTCATCAGGTCTGCCTGCTCTGCTTTCATGTGATTTTCCATTGTCACTTTTCTAACCGAGAAGGAAAAGCACCCAGCACCAAAGATAAGCTACCAAAAAATGTCTACACAGAGCAAGACAATCTCATCCAGACAGGTCTAATCGGAGCGAGGAGAGGGCTTTTGTGTGCTGCCTCTGCTCGGGTATCAGTCGTCAAATGAACTAAGAGTCCTGCCAGGGAAGAATTACTCACTTCATAGCTATTTCACAAAAATGCCATGTTTTACTGTCACTATTATGCTAAGGACAGATAATTTTTAAGCCCATTGTCCTCTTCCAACAGTCTGTCAATTTGTAAAGCGCACTGTAGACCCTTAGAGTGTCAAAGCTGCAGTGCTGCAGAATGGGAAGCTGATCTCTGAAATGCCCCCCAGCCTACACCTATTTGACAGAAACAGGAGTTGGTCCTTCGCTGCTCCTTCTTTATTACTGATAAGCCTTGCTTGCAGCATGTTTTTCAGAGGAGAATACCATATAGAATCACTGACATTTGGCAAGAGAAAGCTTCATGCAGAATTATGATCTCATTTGCATATACTTGTACCTGAGATATCCAAACAACAGAGTTTGTCAAGTAAACATGAACAAAGCATGATTCAATATATCCAGCCTGTTAATAACCAACATCTGTGATTTTCACAAATGAATCACTATAGTAGATCACAAAGAGTTCGCAAAAAGGGAATGCAGAAATGCTAAATGGCATGAAATAACACAGCTAAATAACAAACAACAATCTTACCACAGAGCAAGTCTCTGCTCAATTTCCTTGAGAAAACCAGTGTGAAATTTGTGCAAAGGTTCGAAGTTGGAGAAAATGAGATTTTTCAGTGTTTCAGGCATGCAATCCTCTTTACTCACTGCACTCTGAAACCACTACAAAGAAAAAAGAAGCAAAATTATCAGGGGGCAGAATGCAGGTATGATCATTTGCTGCCTTTATACACCTAATGCAAATACACCTAACTCAGTAAGGACCTTATTTATTTGGCACTAGGAACACAACCCAGGCTACCTCTGACACTCCTACATGCTGAACTGGTGCTCTCATCAGCGGTCAGGCCCTGCATAGTTAAAAAAGAAACTCCCTTCCCCTTTGCCATCACTGACCAAATCTTGAAAATTCTTTTCAAGCCCAAACTGGTTGGTCAATACAAACTGCATTTGCAAATGCCAGAGGTGCAAGAGAAAGACTATTGCAATACTTGCAACACCTGCAAATGTTCCAGTAAAAATGAAGAATATGCTCGGCATTTTCTTTTGCCGAGTTCTGTCTGAAATCCCTTTGACAGGAGTTGGTACAGTAAGCACTCAAGCCCATGTTGCTGTGTGCAGATAGAGAACATCATGCACTTTGCAAAGTGAACAAGTAGAAGGACCGTACTTTGCACTTCCAAGTAGCAGAAAATAGGAGGGTCAGTGCCAAACACTGTTAAGACTGCAATGGGCTCCTGCTCAGTTTTGCTCCATATTCTTTTTATTTCACCTTAATAGACCTATGGGTGACATAAAACCACAGGACTAGGGGGCTTGCCAAGGCACAGACTATTATCTTCCACATGATAACACTAGTCCCTCCTCGCTGCCCTGAGGGGTTCCAGCTATCTATGGCTAAATTCCAGCAGCGCCTACAAAGCTGTTGGGACCATAGCCTTGACTGACACTGCATCAGCTGGCGCTGACGCAGACCTGGGATAAAGACAGACCTCCCCCAAGCCTCCCTCTCCCCTGCCTTATCTCTGCACTGAGCAGAGCTAAGGTTGAAGAACTGCACACCTGCCAAGACTCTAAATTCATGCATGACACTCATTCCTTCTACCTCTTCCAATGATGCTGGCTACTTGTTCACTCTCAGTGGCCTCCTGGGCCAGACACCTGTGAGGCACAGCTGATGGGCCTGATGATTAGCTTAGAGCTAGTTGTATGCCTCTTGGTGACAAATTCAAATTTACCTACCGCAAGAATAAAGGCCAGGGTGGGAAACAGGCTTTAGCTCTGAAGAGCTAAAACTTTCTCTTTCTGCAGCTACTGGGTGAAATAGAAGATGGAAACAGCACTTCTGCTGTTGAGACTGCAGCAATGACCACCGTCCCACAGAACCTGGCCTCCTCCCTCGTTGGCCTGGCTTCTCAGAAAGCCAGGGTAGTAGGCAGTGGAGCCACAGCTATCTTGCTGCTTGCAACAACCATGCTGCTCCAGCCTATGTTGGCTATGTCTAAGCTGGCATCAGATCAACTCCATCTGCCATGTGGGCTCCTGGAACAGACGAGAAGCTGGGGAGAAGGTGTCTCCCCCTGGTTCCCAGCCGGTACCAACAGACTCTTCCCTGCAGCATGTCCTCCCTACCACAACACTCAGTGCAGGAGGTGGCAAAGCACCTCACAGAGTTTCACACACACCGGGCAGTTAAAGAGCTGGGAGGTCTGGAGCTGGCAGCCCTGCTGAAATACCACGAGAGGTTTTGGATCCAGTGCGCTTTTACAGACGATTGTTATTTAAGGCCAAATCTTGCGCACATTACTCTTGGAAGTTAAACAAGGCTGTTTGTGTGTGTGCAAAAAAGGCACTTATTTGCCTTGGTGATTTTAACAATCACACTCTGATCAGGTGCTACAGATTAATGACCCGTTTAACAGACAGTTTCACTTACTGAAAAATCAGAATAATTCAAATAGGTACTCCACAGTATTTCGTGTTAAATGGAGGGCATTTAATCCAGGAGAAAACATTTATATGTCCCCCTAGGGAGCTATTTCAGTTTTAAGAGAAGTCATTGAAAACCCACAGGCATTTTTAGTAATTACAACCACAAAGTATAAGAGCAAGGAAAAATAACTGAACTGTGTCCCCAGTTCCTCAACTGATACAGTTTCGTAGTGCATGTTACTAACCACAGTGCAAATCTCTACTTTCTGCTTTTTGTGTTATTTCCTCCCTAGAGCTGTACTCCTGTGCTCTGCAGAGAATACCTACAGTGCAGACTATAAAAGTAGCATGGAACAGCTAAGATGTTAAATGGAGCAGATGAAATGCTGACTAGAGCTTCACGTGTTTCATGAGTAATGGTCGAGTAAACATACCGATGTGATGACTTCAAGGTCCTTCAGGTATGTTCGTTCTGTGGTCGCTACTTCTTTAGCAATGAAGTAAGCCTTCTCAGTTGGGAATCTCTGCAAATTGCAAACATATTAGGTTTTCATCTGCTTTTATGGACCTGCTTTCTGTAGGAAAAAACTGCCGACAACAATCACCAAGAGAGTTACCAACTAGTGACCCTTGCTTGTGGTTACTGTGACTCATGCTTGAATGTTCTTAAGCCCTGAAGCCCTGAAAACAATCCTTCCTTGCAAACACAAAAGAACAAGCACTTTCTATGGGTTCTTGTTCCTGCTGAGGTGATTTCTACAGCTCTGGGGTGCTGATGTTCCTTTCAGCTTATTCCACACATCTGGAGCAGGACATATTCTGAAGTTCACAAAGAAATCCTCTGCAGGCTAGAGAACCATTTGAATCAAATTTGACAAATGTCAAATTTGACAAAGTGGCAAAAATTAGTGTCCGATTATTATAAGTTTCATTGTCAGGGTAAGAATCCACAGTAAAAATACTCTCAAAAAAAAAAATCCGTAAGATTTTCCTAGTGCGGCTAGACAACCTAACAGTGGGAGAGAGGAAGAATTTTAGGGTAAGATACAGATTTCAAATTTCAGGTAAAAACCCCCAAATCCTCCTGTGTTGTCCAAGAGGCAAAAGTGGTTTTGACCTCTTAATTCTGAAGAGCCAAAGCATCCCAATTGGTCTTGGTCTGTGTTGCTCAGGAAGCAAAAAGGAAGAGCAAAACATCCATAAATCCTTTGCTTCTATATTTCCTCCCTGAAGATCAGCGATGCAGAGGATGCACTACAATGGGATGCGAGGGGAGACTGCACAGGCATTTCCTAGGCAGCATACAACCCCATAGGAACCATCATCAGCTGGTATAAGCTACAGCAGTCACTGGCTGCTTTAACTTGGACTGGCACAGAGAATTGTCAGTCTATTAACTGATTCTTGGCTTTTCTTCTTCTCAAATTTCTCTCACATATCTTGCTAACTAACTACACACAGTGGGAAAGGAGATCTTCCTTACACATGTTCCCACTTTCCAGCAAAGCCATCTGAGTTCCTGACTTCTTCCTGAGATGCTCCCAGCTCAGGAGAAAAAGCAGGCGACAGAAGGACAAGAGCAACTCCCTCTCGCCCCGCAGCACAGGAGGGACGAGCCAGCAGACACCCAGAACACCCTGGCTCAGACAGAATCACTTCTGTCTTCAAAAAGCAGTTTTGGATGTGATGCTCCCTTATGGCTTTGCTGCAATGATGGGGCTGAGCCAAACACTCCCAGCTGAATGCTGCAGGCTGTGGCTCAAAGCGAGCATTTCTACTCCCCCAACCAAATTCTCCTAGTGGTGCTCCCAGCAGAAACAGACTGGAGAGCCTGGGTTGGACACTCCTGCACAGGCTGAACGCTGTTTCTTCTCTTTCTGTCACTTGGAAATTCTCCCTCCAATAACACATTGGAGTTGACCGTTTTGTTACAACAAACTACCGAACTCCACTCCTTAAAACCAAGGTAGATTTACAGGAGACCCTCTCAAAACATGCTCTTAAGGTTGCAATCAACAGGACTGGCCCAGATTTATCCCACATTAACCCTAGGGACACAGAGCTACCTATCTTCTCTCTGCTGCTTAAAGACAAGCTGGGGCCCAACTCCTGCACCCCTGTTCAGGAGGATGGATCCAGGGCACTGAGCCCTCAGCTACAGCAGTTCTGTGGTTCTGGCCTGACCCGCTCCAAACTGTGAGTTTGGCCTCAGGAGCACAGGGATGCTCTTGGACACGCCATGACTGAGGACAGCAGATATCAGGTGACCCAAGTCAAGTTATCTGTGTGGATTAATGATGAGGAAGCTGCAGGGGGTCTAGGTATTAGTCACTTTGACAAACAGCAGTAGTTGCAATGCAACATGGAGAAGAGAGCCAAGGCCAAGTGCCTCTGCCTTACCTTTCTTTTGACCTCTTCCTCATCGTCAGTCCTGATGCATGTTGGGTCATTCAGCAAAGGGCTGATCAATGGAGATGACTGCTTGGCATCAGGGCTCAAGTTTGGAGATAAAGACATATTTGCCACCGATGGTCCTCCTTGGGAATTGATGGAAAGCTCTGAAAGGTGAGGGCTGCCAGTCAGAGAACCTGCTAAAAAATGGTAAAAAGAGAAATCAGTTAGGACAGGCTCTCTCTAGGAAATACCAAAAAGAGTTACAACCTTAAGTTGCAGCATGTGAAATTACACTACAAGCCACAGCCATCAGCATCCTCAAACTAGTCCAAATGGACTTGAAGCTAGAGGAACTGCATCCACTTGCATTAACCAAGGGACTGGTTCTTTTAGCTGATGAAACTTGCTGAAATCAGCATCTCTGTAGGGAAGGGATCAAGGCATATATGACTGAGCTGCAATATTTACTGCTAAACTTCATATTAATACCAATTTTTTCACGATTGTAATCCACTCTATGAAAGAGAATAAATACAACAGTAAGGGAGTCACCCTAGGAGTGCCATTCTTTCTAGCAAAGTAGAACTTCAAAGACTCAAATCAGTACTTCATAGGGAGCTACAGGACACAAGTTAGAACAAATTTATCTAGTGGAAGTCTAGAGAAAAAGAAACAATGACTTTCTACAGCAGTGTTGCTGCTAAGACCAGTCAGATCTAACATGAAAGGAGAAAACTACTATTTCCCCAATTTCTACACACAACACAAGTATGTATATTATACCTTGTAGGTCTTTCCATGCTCCTCTGATTGTTTGGGATGGAAATGCTAGCATTACATTTACATAAGAAAAGCAATAGTTTTAATGCACAAAGCATGACAACTTCAGATTATCACAGATATATAGTCCCATTTAATTTTGGATTAAAAATATTAAAGGATTCAACAATTAATTACACTTCCATGGATTCATATACACTACATTAAATATTACTGAAATTAGCATTTTGTCTTCTGGGAGGCAGCCAGACTACTGACTGCACAAAGGAAAGAGTTTGCCAAAAATGCCCAGTGTTCTCCCAGTTATCCCCTCCTCCAAACCTCTAAAAATCTAAACCTGTTTTAGAAGATGGATCTGTCATGTGGAAGAATATTTACAGTCTGTATCATTTTGGCATCATACATTAAAATCCAATGAAAAAAACGTGACAAGCTCTTGATTACCACCGCTAATAGGCTGTCTAGGATTAAATGTAAAACACATACATCACCGTATATAATTAAAGTCAAATACATTTTACTATCATGTATTTATGTCCTCCCTAGATTATGATAGGTAAATGTTCCTGTTGCTACAACACAGCTGAGATATTCCAGTAAACAGAGGCACCAATAAATATAATTAGGCCAGTAGGAAAACCTATTTATTTTCTGGAAGAACTCAAGATTTATTGCTAGAACACAAATGTTTTCCAGTTCCAAACCAGTTCATGTTTATATGTTATTCCTTTGAAAAGAGAAGGAAAAAAACAATACAGTTATCAGTTTACGTAATCATGACAGTTATGTAGCCTATTATAAATTGAAGTCAAAGCAGTATTTGTCTGAAATAAAGGTCTGTATTATTACAGCTAGCAAGAAAGGATTTACCAACAGTTTCACACTAAATCAATGTTCAGTGAAATTTGAGAAAATGCCACAGCTTGTTACACAAATGTCAATTTTATTGACACTAGCACACAACTGTATACAGTGTTTTAAAAAGAAATGGAATTCATCATTGAGAAATAGTGAAACAGATTAATAGCAAGGTTGTAAGGTTAAAAGTACTTAACTCTACATTACAAAAGACATAAGAAAAGTGATATAACCTCAAACGTGGAAACAAAGAAATTCTGGCACTATGCCTGTCATACGACAGCAAATAAATGATTTGCACCTCTGTGAGAAGTTCACAGGCATTATAGTCTAAAAGTTAAATAGCACCTATCTGTGATAGATAGATATAGATACAGTGACATATCCACCTACCTATTTATGATCCTAGATCTAACTTCTGATGTACTGGAATTTTTGTCAGTACAACTTAAGTATTTTAAACTATAAAATATCAAATGGATAATGAATTAAAAAGACTTCCTAAACTAGGCTTGGAAGACATGACTTGGGAAAAGTATTATGGAAAGTATCACAAAAAAACGTGCCTGGTGGCTCACTGCATTGAGTATACACCCCACTGATTAAAGACTTGCACACCAATACATCACCGACATTTACAAAGTTATTTTGCAGCAAGTTGAAATGCTACATCGTCCTTTTTGGTACCAATGTGGACATGAGCAGTGACCAAATCCAACCACCACCACCTACAAGCAAGAGCTCCATTAGACCCCATCTGCCAATATGCTGAACAAGTGAAAATTAAAGCTAGGTGTAAGAAAGTGGCTACATTACAAAAGGGCCTCAAAATGCTGTTATGTTAGCACATTTTGGGGCCTAATTACAACCAGTGTAGCTATAAAGATCAACACACTGGATGTTATTCTGGTAAAGGTGGGAAACAAACTCTTTCTGCTGTGAGGAAGTCAGTAAGTCATGAAGAAATGAAAATGAAAGGTCTTCTCTCCCCCATCACCAATCAATCAGGACATGTGTCATGCCGATGGGTCATGGCAATGTTGCGAAGTGACTTTCTCTTTTTCATGGAGGTGAGGAACAAATAACCTGCATTAACCAAATCATCTTTTCGCAATGTTTCATCTGACCTCCTGCCATGGAACAGTATATTCATAAAGGCTCTACTCATCAACTACATACTGCAGAATATAAACAGAAGCAAAAGGGAGAAGACCAATCTTATTTACAAGGTACTGAAATTCCTCATGTTTTACCCTAAAGGATTCATTGATTGACAGGCAATTATTAGCACGTCTGTTGCCAGTTATCAAGTGGTACTGCACAGCACCTTGGAGGCCTAAAAGGTTTGTGGCTGGTAACATGGAATTGGCTTTGCTCGTACTTCAAGTCATTTTTATTTAGATTCAGACTTGGGCCATCTTTCAAATATAATAGAGCCAAGTACAAGAGACAAGTACAAAAGGATGTTTATCTAAGGATTGCTTGAGCACATACTAAAATTATATCCTTGGTGGAGTGGGCAGGAATTAAGCCTGTGCTTCAGTTCTTTTCTGAGCTTGGTGTTTAAGAAGAGAAACAAACACTGGTTGATGACAGTAGCAAATAATGAGAATGCACTTTATCACGGTATGCCAGATTAGCCAGCCCATCAGTGCGAAAATACCTGGAATGGTTCTTAGTTCCACTGAACTAGTTTACTCCCCTGACATTAGGGAAAGGTGCTGCAGTAGGAAAGGTGACAGAAAAAGTAAACCTTGACTGAAAGCTAACTTGACAAAAAAAATCTACAAAACAACAGTAGTGTTTTTTACATGGCCACAGGACATAAAAACATGGGTTAGCATCCTAGCTTTACATGTGTCTCAAATCACTCACCATCAACATACACGTTCTATGCGCTAAGTAAAATGAAGGCAGTGGTTAAAATTGAATGCTTAAAAGCTATACCTCTGTGAAAACACATATCGCAGTTGCTTGCTGCAATTTGGTGGTGGGAATGCACGGGAGTGACGGCAAGCTGTGGGTGCCCAGCAAGAGAGGTGCAGGCTGGGCTCTGCACTTGGCTGGCTGGCTGTGATCCATCCCACCAGCAGTATCTGCTTTACTCTAGGCTCCCATCATGCACAAATGTTAACCCATAGGTTGGCGCCTATGGAGACGGGCTGGCTGAGCCATACTGCTTTAAAACATGCCCGCTACCAGGGATAAACCAGCTCAAATCAGTACTTTTTAGCTGATGAAGAAAGTCCCTCCCGGAGGTCAGTTCAAATCATAGGTGAGCTGAACTGTGTGCTGCCTCTTTCTTTGTTGACTACATAGACAGCATATGACCTGAAATCCCCAGTTAGAGACTTTGACATAACATGTGAGGGCTCCCCTCTTTGTGAGGAAGATAAATGGGACTCAGTGTATCCTGAAGACACTCCTCCTCTACTCCTTTTCTCCTGAAAATGCTGAGTAACAAACTCACACCATTTAGCGTTCTGCATATGCTTCAAAAGAAACAGTTCCCATCCCTACAGAATCATTTATGTTGGAAAAGACCATTAAGATCATCGAGTCCAACCGTAAACATAACACTGCCAAGTCCATCACTAAACCATGTCCCTAAGTATCTTTTAAATACCTCCAGGGATGGTGACACAACCACTTCCTTGGGCAGCCTGTTCCAATGCTTGACAACCCTTCCAGTGAAGAAATTTTTCCTCATATCCAACCTAAACCTCCCCTGGTACAACTTGAGGCCATTCCCTCTTGCCTGATTGCTTGTTACTGGGGAGAAGAGACCAACACCCACCTCGCTACAACCTCCTTTCAGGTAGTTGTAGAGAGTGATAGGGCCTCCCCTGAGCCTCCTTTTCTCCAGGCTAAACAACCCCAGTTCCCTCAGCCGCTCCTCATAAGGCCTGTGCTCCACACCCTTCACCAGCTTTGTTGCCCTTCTCCGAACACGCTCCAGCACCTCAATGTCTGTCTTGTAGTGAGGGGCTCAAAACTGAACACAGTATTCAAGGTGCAGCCTCACCAGTGCCAAGTACAGGCGTACACTGTGTTTTACCAGCAAGGAAGAGTACAGCAGTGTTAAGATGCTCCTGGGTATGTTCCTCCTCTGTGGAGCACCAAGAAGTGAAAATGACTCAATTATAGAAACTGAGAGGAAAATCAGTCATAACTGAAGGTGACTGAAATTCTGCTGGAAAAGTCCACGTGCAGCTACAGTGCTCACTCTAACTCAGCTGTTAAGGGTTATATTGTTCTCAAGGTTTATAGTTTTATTATTAGAGATTAAAATGTGTTAAGAGCCAGAAAAGCACCTTTCTCAATACCTGGAACATTGCAGGGCTTATTGTCTCTTAGGCCTGCTCCACAGACTGCTCTGTAGTCAGGGGAAGCTTTTACTCTGCTTTAAGGGCAGATGAGTGTTTTCTAAACTCCAGTCTGGTAGATGAAACCCAAGGTGTTGCCCCTTTGTGCTTTGCATTACTAAGGATACCACTTATGAAGGCTCTTTAATAAGAAAGTATCTGACAGAGCTGTTGCTGCTGCGGCCACATAG